AAATGCCCACAGACTTATAATTACTACTGTTATTGAAAACATAGTATTTTTTTCCAGGTTCTAGCTTTACAATTAATATGGCCTTGTATTTGCCTGCTAAATTCTATATACCACAAGGACCACACTTTTGGCTATTACAGGCATAATTTAAGAGCATCGTTATGCAGGAGAAAGCCAGAAGCATAGAGTAAAATCCTGCCTTTACTGCAGTCAATGGGAGTTTTGTCAATGGCTTCAGGGGACCAAGATTTCAACCAGTGTGACTAATTACTGAGAAATGCAGTAAATCATATTGCAAACCACCACCTCGAGTTATAAAAGAGGGTTTATTAATCAAGGGAAAGAGCCAGCTTTGTGCATTGCCTAGACGTAGCAGATATGGGCATGACATCACTGACAGCTGTTCTGAAACTTAGCTTTGTGTCCCATTTTCTGTGTTACAACGTTTGTAATATCACAGATATGGACAAAGCCCACAGCCGTTTTACTTGGTCCTTGTCAACATCTGACAGTTCCAGAAACCAGCTGCTGTCAAGGCAGTTGCACTGGGGCAACCCTTAAAGGCAGAAGTGCATGGTGCTGGTGTAAAAGTGACATACACCAGTCCAACTTACCTCAGACTACATTTACACTGCGATCTAGGTGTGACTGCGCTATGTTGCCAGCATGTTTCTTGTTGCATGGGAGCCCTAGCATCATGGGTGTCAACTGCTAAGTATCAGGACTCCTGGGTAGGCTGGTGTACCTTCCCTGCCATTGCTGAGGTACCCTCTGTTTCCAGTCAGGGTAAGTAACACAGCTGCAAGTTACCTTGCATGGGTATAGTGACATTGATGTAAGTACAAAAAGGGCAAAAGGTCAGTGCAGATAACCCAATGCGATACTTCATTTCTTTTGCCAAGTCCAGCTGCTACTTTTACTGGAGCCTTTCCTCTTCAATTTTGTGAATCTTTTAAAAAAATTGACCTAGAAATCAACATATTAATTATTCATGTTTAATGATTAATGAGGGATATTGGGGTATAAAAGCTGCTTCCAAATTGCCATGTAGCCTTTTACTGCTAATAAAAATGCTTTAAATAATACAAATGCTTAGGTTAGAGATTCTATTTATTTATTACCTTAGCAGGTATTTTAGCTGGGTGATTTTCCAGAATCAATCTCTTCAAGTGAAGGATCCAAAGTCGTTTATCTTGTTGCGATTTTGCCTGTTACAAAATTTTGAGATAGTCAGCTAATTTATTTCTGTAGCCACTCAGCACTTATAGTCATCCATGGAATACGTATGGCCAAAAGTGACTCACTTTTACCACTGGCTATAAAATAAAGGGGACTCGATTACTTTTATTTGTGGCCTTGAAAGAAATAGCAAGATAATTTTCAGAGCATGGAGATTACTTTCATACCTGCACGGTGTGCTGCATCTTGGGATTTTTATAGTGGAAGACACTGAAGCTGAGCGGTTCCTTTGGTATAACTTCGACAAGCATGAGATTGCCACACTACAGCAGAGAAAGAAAGTGGTGAATGAGAGGAGAGCTAAACCATAGTCTGAAATTTGTTTAGTCAGCATATTGCAACTGAAGCCATGACATACCAATATGTGAGCCTTATATGTATACATTTCTTCTCTCTTCTTTGTAATAAGCAGCAGTTTGTCAAACAGGAACAAAGTGCGCTCATTTTTTGCGCGCTGAATGCGGAATGTTCCTTCCAAAACCAGCTCCCCATAACTAGTGAGGTCTGGCCCTTTCCAGTTAGTGAGTAAACTCTGTATCTCCTGCAATAAATAAAAAACAGAATCACATTCAAAACAATATTTTAGTGAAAAGTTTAAAATTCAAAGTACAATACTGTATATTGAGTCCACTAGAACTGTTCTCTGATGATCAGTGTGTAACAGTGTACAGCTAATTCCTATGCAATGGCTGTTTATGGGCTCATGTTTAGTAGCCTTTGTAGTGGATGACAGTTTTTCATATCGTACAAACATCATGATGATCTCTAACTAGTGCTTATGTCAGTAATGACAGTGGAATAGCACAAGTACTGAACTATACCTTCACCCCAACACGTAGTCCTATTTTGGGCTAAACACTTTGTCAGTTTTGCTGCTACACTGCAGCCTCACTCAACCTAAGGAAAACTATAACATTTCCATTTCAAGTACAGTCAGTCTAGTACCTTTTGTTGGGACCAAACATGTCAACAAGGGTTTTAACTGTTTTCTTTAACTCCAATCTCGGATTTTAGTCACCTTATTCTCTCTCTGACCTCATAAAACCTTCTTCCTCTACCCACATCAATGCCCAAATTCTCTTAACATATGTTTCCCCTTGATTGTTACTGGTGATGGACCTAAGAAATGTCAGATACATGCAACCTGGAGAATAGAAAGTTCACAAAAATGAACGCCAAAATATATGTTGTCTCTAAATCCATGCTGAAATAATTCAAATTTGTTGATTAGGGCATAATGCAAAAGGCATCTCTCTCAAAGGGTTTTCAGGATTGGGTTGAGGTTTACTTCAAGAGGATGAAAGGGCATTTATCACTGCTGCGGTTTATCTGCATTGCTACTGCTCCTTTTGGGGGCCTACAGCCCTGTGTAGGCACCATCTCAATTATTACTTAAGTCAAAATAAATACACGGTTTAGTGAAGTGAAATCCTTATAAAAGTGCAGCTGTATAGCACCATGTGTTCATCTAAAAATACACTAACATCTGTATAGGCAGACAAGGTTCCTTGGGTGAATTTGATATCTTTTATTAGACCAACCCAAATGGTTGGAGAATAGTTATTAAGCAAGCTTTCGGGTTCAAAAACCCTTCGTCAGGCTCAGGAAGCTGCAGCAGTTGGTGTGTGCTCTTCCTGGATGGAATGAAAAGTAAAGAAGCCAGGGGCTGGGCTGGGACTGAGAGATTGGAGAGAGAGTGGCCCTCCTGTGAGAAATGTGCCCCCACCGGTAATTGGGTGTTTCTGTCTTTGATGGATTTCCGGTGTGCATTCATTCTGGTGCGCAGTTGTTGTCTGGTCTCTCCTACATATCTTCCATCAGGGCATTTGGTGCATTGGATGAGGTATACTACATTCCTGGAGGTGCAGCTGTAAGATCCTGGGATGCTGATGGCTCTGTTGTGGGGTGTAGTAATAGTGGGGGTGGTGGAGATGTGGGGGCAGGTTTTGCATTTCTTGTCATGGCACGGTCTGGATCCTTTTGGTGTGTTCTGGGCTTGAGGAAGTTTGCTTCTGGTGATGAGGTTGGCGAGGTTCGGTGCTTGTCTGAAGGCTAGGATGGGTGGCTCTGGGAAGATCTTTTTAAGAATAGGGTCTTTTTCTAATATGGGTTGCAATTTTTTGAGGATTTTCCGTACAGGTTCAAGGGATGGGTGATAGGTCATAACCAGCGGTGTGCGATTTGTGGGTGTTTTTCTTCTGTACTGCAGCAGTTCTTCACGTGGTATCCAGGTGGCTCTTTCAAACGTGCGATCTACCTCTCTGGAGGAGTGTCCTTGCTGGGTGAAAGCCTTTTTAAGATTGGTGAGGTGGCGATCCTGGGTGTTCTCTTGCGGTGGTATCTGAGGGCTTGGCTGTATATCACTGCTTTTTTGGTGTGTTTCGGGTGATTGCTGGTTCTGTGCAGATATGTATGTTGGTCTGTGGGTTTCTTGTATACTGTGGTCTGTATTTTACCCTTCTGGATACTGATCCTTGTGTCTAAAAAGGGGATGTTGGTGTTGGAGTATTCTAAAGAAAGTCGGATGGAGGGATGGTGACTGTTGAATTTCTAGTGGAACTCAAGTAGAGATTCCAGGTTCTCACTCCAAATGATGAAGATGTCATCGATATATCGTAAGTACAGCAAGGGTTTGATGGTGCAGTTCTTGAGGAAGTCTTCTTCCAGGTGGCTCATAAAAAGGTTGGCATACTGTGGGGCCATTTTAGTGCCCATAGCTGTTCCCATCATCTGGAGGAAGTGTTGATTATTAAAAGTGAAATTGTTGTGTGTGAGGATGAAGTGTATAAGGTCAGTAACATTGGATTTTTGATACATTATAATCTGCCGGGCAACTGACTCCCCAGCCCAGCCCAGCCCA